TGTTTTACAGTTACTTCCCGAAGAAAAACTCATGGGCCGGAGCAACTACATGAATTGGTCTATTCGATTTAAAACCATGTTTCACGACGAAGGGATCTACGAGAGAACCATACTCGATCCGGTTCCTGTTGGTGCTGGAGACGATGCAATTGTTTGCCGCCGACGCATCAAAGCAATGACTATGATACATGCCAGTTTCTCTCTTGACATTCTTTCTTCCATCGTCAAATTTGAAGAAAATTCTTCTGAATTGCGCACTTTGTATCAATCCAACAATGCTCAACGTCGGTTGATGTTAATTAAGAAGCTTGCTATTCTTAAGCTGCGTGCTACTGTCACAGTCAAACAATACCTTTTAACTATCAAAGTCTCTCAAGATCCAACTTGCTGCAATTGATCATCGATTTTCTGATAGTGATCTAATCCATTACACTCTCAAGGGTCTTCCACTTTCCTGGGCACCATTTGTTTCAAACTTCGGCAGCGACTTGTCTCGAGATCCTCCACTTGAATTCACAGATCTGGTACAACGTTTTCAAATAGAAAGTACTTGGCTTGACAGTCATCAAGAGTATGACACTGCCAATGCAATCACACGGTTCAACTTTTGCAAACAACGTTCTCAGCATCCCTCTTTTTAGTCTTCTCAGTCAGACTTCTCACAATTCTTTGCTTATCGAGAGAAAAATGGAACCGGATCAATTTGACAAAATACGCGTCGTAATTATTGTGGTACTTTAAATCACTGGAAATATGATTGTGACTTGAAGATAGTTGATGAGCAAATAGTGCAGCTACAACTCCGTGCTTCTAACATGTGCCGATTTAAGGTGCAAGCGAACTTAGTAGACGATTGCATTGACGGACTAGAAGATGGTTTGGATAGTGAGTTAGTAGAGCTAGAAGCCTTGGCTTTACACGAATCTAAAGAATACTTGTTAGACTAGTGTTGCTAGTAGTCAGGTGACAAATAATATGTCTATGTTTAGCTCATACCAATCAGACTCCTCTCACTCTGAAGTTTCTATAGCTAGTGGAACTCGTTTACCTGTTATTGGCAAAAGAACTTTCCGAGTTGATTCAAGTAAAGAGATCAAACCTATTCTTTATGTGTCAAGTCTTACCAAGAACTCACTGGTAGTAGGAAAACTTTCAGATTCAGGTTTTCTTGAAATGTTCATCTCTGAATATCGTTTCCTACTCAATAGGATCAATCTTCAAAGGTCGATTCTCTTTGGCCAATGTGATCCTTGCTGTCAACTATATTGACTTTTTACTCAGATACAACAGTTCGATGCTCATTTTCTCAGTCATTTGCTTCAACGATTTGATCGAATAGATAAGCCTTCTAACCTTATTGGATCATCTACCTTCGTTGAGAACAACTGTTTTCAAGCAACTTCGACCTCACCGATCTCTAGCACAAAAGGTTGTGTCATATTCGTCATCAAACAACATATCATATGGCTTCAAAACAACTTGTGCATGGGCTTCCTTGACTCCAGGTTGAAAGAGACAGACGTTGCGAGACATGTGTTCTGACATGTGTTCCAAACTTGCAGTTAATAAGACAACTCGTCCACTACGGTTAGTCCCCAACTATCTTTGCAAACCAATTGAAGCAGGAACCGGTTCAAGTACTTGCTAATCTTCACATATGATTATATCCATTTTACATGGGTCAAATTCATGCGTCTCAAAAGTGAGACTTTGCATCACTTCCAACAATTTGTACTCTTTGAGAAAACCTCTACCCACACAAGGTGGCTTCGGTTTGGCACACCGAACATGATTGGAATCCAAAAGTCACTGCACTTTGATTTGATAGAGGAGGAGACCACCTCTCCTTTACTGTGAGAAGAAAGGTATCACTCGACAACTCACGACAATAGCAACTCCTCACCAGAATGTTATTTCTAGATGAAAAAATCATATGTTGTTTGAAGGTGCTCGTTGCATATATAACACATACAATTTTACTTCACATATATGGATAGAGCCACTACGAGCTGTTAACTATGTGTTGAATTCTTGTGCCAGTGGCGCCCTCAATCTCAGAACACCTTTTGAGAAACTTCATGGTCGTCTCCAGATCTATCTCGCATCCGTGTTGTTGGTTAACTGTTTATGTGAATATTGCACAAGACAAACGAACACAACTGCAACCTAAGGCACATAGGTGTGTATTTGTAGACTATTTTGATGACTCCAAGTCATGTCGTTGCTATGATCCAGTGATCGGACAAATCATCTCTACAAATGATGCAACATTTTTTGAAAATGTATCAGGTCATTTCCAAGATATCCACAAGTTTTTGGACCTATTCAGTGAATTTGACACTGCAGATGAGACATCTGACAAATTGTTGCACCTAGAAGATGACAATTCTGAAGTGAATGCATACCAAACGAATCAACAATCATCTTCACCAACATCAACATCTTCATCGCCGTTACCAGCATCGCCACAAACATATATACTTTACAAGACTCTTGATCCTGATCCAAGACGTAATCCTAGTGAAAAAAACAAAAGACCCTTTCAGTTTTTGCGGAATAAGTATCATGTACAAGGTCACAGCTCCTTCAACATAGTGGAGATTTCACAATCTACCAATGATAAACTATTAGTAGCTGAAGCTCTCAAGAATCCTCTGTGGAGAGGAGCAATGTAGGAGGAGTTTGACTCCCTTATTTCAAACTTCATATGAGAACTTGTCAAGCTTCTAGAAGGCCAACAAGCCCTCTCATCCAAATAGATTTTCAAGGCCAAACCTCAGTTGGATGTTATCTCTATGAGATTAAAAGCACGTCTGGTAGCTAGAGGACTTGAACAAAAACATGGCATTGATTACAATGAAACGTTTGCTCCTTTGATATGTTGATCAACTCTTCGAGCTCTTATTTTATTGTCTATAGCTCTTGGATGGGAAGTGCATCACATGGATGTAATATTTGCCTTCCTAAATGAAAAGCTACAGGAACAAATTTACATGAAACAACCACTCGGCTTTAAGCAGTCAAGCGAGAAGCATCTTTTTTGTCTTCTCAAAAAATCAATCTATGATTTCAAACAGCCTCCTAGACAATGGTACAAGGAGATCAACTCTTATCTGCGATGAGTTGGTTGGGCTCGCAGCAATTTTGATCCCAACCTCTATTTACTTCGAGAAGATAAGATCATCACTGTGCTACTTCTCTATGTGGATGATCTACTACTTCTAGGAAGTTGGTCTGCACGTATAACAAAGATCAAGACGCAAATACATTCACGTTACCGGAAGATGTATCTAGGACTTGATTCTCACTGCCTCAGTGTTGAATTCCACAATTTCCCCAACGGGAATTCTTTACTCCATTAACACAAATATACTACAGAATTGCTGGACAAATGCAAGCTTGATACCTCGATGATCCAACTAATTCCACTTCCGGTTGGCCATGTCTTGGAAGCTGACAAAGGGGTCAATGCATGTCGACGTTTAAGCCTACTGCCACATTGTTGGCAAATTGATATTTCTGTGCAATACTCGTCCCGACTTGTCTTATGCCGTTGGAGTTGTAAGTTTTAGAGGGTGAAATTTCACTTGAGTACATACACACGGAAGACAATCCAAATGATCTTTTGACGAACCCCTACCGCAACACAAGTTTGACAAACATAGATTTTTTATTGGAATGCTATCTCTGGCAGATTTACAAGAAGTTTGCTAGTATTACCATGTTCACCTCGAGAGGGGTGTTGTGAGTCACTAGATCTTTAACGAGGAGAACAGTTCATTCTAGTCCCGCGGATTCTAGGGTTAGGTTAAATGTTGTTACTCGGTCTGCGACTACTCAAGTGTAGCATTGTAAACTTCACATTAAGCTTTTCTTCGCTAACAACATTCACACACACACTGAACTAGAATTTCATTATTGGAATACTCCGAGTACGGAGGACACCTGTCCCTCTTGAGAATTGCTTTTGAGGTAAGCTCGGGCAGCCACCAGTCAGCTCTTTAGATTACAGCCTTTGAGGTCTCCAAGAACAAGGATTCGAAATGGACCAAAAGTTTGCTGTACATTTCAACTGGACAACGGTCATCAACGTGTGACGTAGTATTGGCACGTAAGAACCAATTTTATGTGGCTGGCAACGTCAGAATCTGAATATGCAAAAGGCGTCAGCCTTGAGCCGCAAGCAAGCAAGCGCCATCCAGAATTCCGAACCGGTATCCTCATGTCAAACAACTAAACGACTGGTTGTTCCATGGATTCGTGCTGCGATTAATCACTGCAACGGTGTCTGATTGATAAATCAGAGGGGCTAGCTACAAATTTATTTCTCGGAAGTCGAAGGGCTGTAACGACGAATAATTCTACTCTCTCCTTAACTCGGATTGAGATCTCTGACTTTATGATCTTTTTCCATGTTGATATGTTTATCACGTGGGCGTGTTTATCACTGCAAATTGAAGCATCACTCGACTCTCTAATATTCTACCACTACATCCAAGGTTGGAAAATCAAGCGATATACATTTATTCTCCCTTCTATGACCTACTGTCAACTGATAATGGTTCACACCGAAAGCATATGGAAAATATATCCTTGTCTTTGTTTGTAAAATTGTCTCGTACAATCGTCTTTTGTAAATTGAAGGGCCACAATCGAGAGCCCGGCAGTGTTACAAGCATAACGGGGACGGAAGTCAATTGATGACATACATTCAGCCAAAACGGTCGGGACAGAAATCGGTCTCGATTCTCATGTCTATCGCCACAAGTTATTCTTGCAAGCATTTTCTCTTGCCAATCTGCGGAAGATTCATTTCCTATAATTCAGCTGAGAAGGTGACAGTAGTTCGGTCAACTCACAAGCAGCCCGAGGAAGATTCATGATGGGCAAGTGGTACTCGTGACATCCTAGTGAGAGTACACAACAAACGAAGATGCTATAGATAAACTTTGGAGTCAGGATGCTTGTTTGAAGATCTCGAAGTTTGTAAATGAAGAGTAAGGACCTACTTGCATTCTCATTTTTATTCACTCGGTGGTCAACACAGTGTCTTTGTCTGCATCCAGGTTCATGTCCATGTCCTAGAACTGATGAAAGTCATTTAAGTCTGAATGTATCCAGGTCAAATAAATCCAGGTCTAGGGTTTAAGGTTTAGGGTTCGAAACCAACCACGAAACATTGAAGTTTACTTTGATCGATTTCAGTAGTGTGTAAACTTTGAACCAGACTATTTTGTTAGGACAGAAATAAGGCAGCCTCCATTCACTGACCAATATCAACTGGAGAAGATCATAAGCAATAGGCGCTGAGATTCATGACAAAAGGATTCTAACGGTTCATGATTGGCATTCCCATCGTGCGATGAGGTGTCAAGGGTTGTGAAGAATAATCAAGTTATCAATAATTTGCCCATGACTGGGATGGTACAGTAATCTCTTGCAAGACTTATCTGTATACCCGTACTAACGAAGGAGTTGATGTAGTCTGCTCGATTCCTAAATTTACAGGTATGAAATCAATGTCTGGACCTTTTTACAGTAAACGACACTACACTTTATTGACAACACATCTCACGCACCGTGAAATTGAAGTTAAAGCTTGACACAGAAAAGCTTATGATAATGACATATTGCAATATATGCAAAACTTTGAAATTTCCCGCCTCTCTTGCGTTAACCTAAGAGTGTTCTCTTTTTTTGTTTTAAACATGAAATGGTCTGACTCAAAACCTGTCAGAGAGAAAACTGAACCAAAATACTAGATAAGTGATTATGAGTGAACTGAGAAATAAGTTTGCGTTTGGGAAAAACTTCAACTAGAAAGAACAAGAGAATACTAGATTCCTCTAGGTCTCTGTGCCACGAATTCACAATTTCTTAGGCAGTGGCTTTTTAACTGCTTTTCATTTCTCTCCATTCTAATACTTTTCGATCTGCAATTTGAACAATCATGTATAGTAACGTGAAGATTTGTACAGTGACTTCCATAAAGTGATTGTTACGATTCCAAAGCTATTCTAGTCATCACACAAAAGTATGTATGGTAATGCTTCAAGCACTAACATCTGTTTGTGTAGAAACATCTTACTAGCATAACAATGTAGTTAGCGAAGAGAGAGGTCCACGGTTCATGCAAATCATTTCACCAATTTCCAGCCTGACTTAGTATCAATTTCGTAAAAACCATTCTCCACCGCCATTCTTCACACAATCATTGGTGATGTAGAGTGCACACCCCCTCCCATCTGCTGATGGAAGAGGACTAACGCCAGGATACGTAAAAAGATGATGCTGCAACAAGATGTGTCATTCACGGAAATATGAAACAGACTGAAATATATTTTTTTAATTCTTTCTTTGTAATCGTCTGCAGCTAATATGGAGGATACATGTTAGATGTAAACATGGTACACCATGAATAAAACATTGATTGATACTATGATTCTTGAGCTTTTCGAAGCAAAAAGACAAACAAGCAAGAGGCTCCGAGATTACATTAGTGGTGGGCTTTCCAAAAGTGATGTTCACGTGATATGATACTTAGAATACCATTACCTTCTGAACGACCTTCCCGGCCAACTTGCAACTTAGATCAGTACTCGTATGGATGTTGTGCATTGAGGTCGCGAAGTACACATGCTCGAGAATTGTGAATGCTTGCACTCGTCAGACTCATGTGAGTAACATACAGAACATAGCCTGCTCGGAGAAGGGCATGTTTGCAATCTTGGGTATAAGTGTATAGCACATAGCCTGACGTTTCAGTCTTATACTCCAAGGACTTCGTAAAAAGGACGCAGGTCAAGTAGCTGAGACCAAAACCGAGTTCGTCTTATGTTGCGTTCTGGGTCGTTGATCTCACGACTGCACCATTTTCCCATAACCATCACCAGTTCCAAACTTGCTCCATAATACCGAGCTCCGGCGCAAGTGTATGTTCTGGCCGCTGCCAAAAGAGTTCTCGAGAAGACACACTACCAATTGTACTTCTCTGTACCACCCTTAAAAAAGCCCCTCCTTGTTTAGATGATAACACTTTTGAGTTTTGATAATAACCTCAGCCACTTGATGATTATTTGTCCTCGGAGTTGTGGACTGCAGGGCTTTAAGAACTGCCTTGAGTTCATTCCTTGCCTCTTCACCGTGTACATCATCCTTGCACATCTAAGCCATGAGATTCAATCAAGGAATTACGTGCAGAGCTCCACTCTCCTCTACAAATGGATTCGACACTAGATCACGTGTTCTTCACTCTGCACTTCCTCCACTTTGCTTGGTCAGTTGACACCGTACTTGAAATTGCACCTTTCAATGCAAAGAAACGAGTTCTTTGTCATCTTGCTGGAGAAAAAAAATTCCAGAGTCGTAAGTCCCACACAAAATTTTCCCGCTCCCCTCTCGAACTGCCGACAGGTGAGAAAACTGTAAAACTCACTCTGCAAGCCAATTTTTCAGGAAGATTAAGTGTAGAGATTTGAGAAGAGTCCTTGGAGATGTGAAGATTCGGTGCACTAGAGTGCACAGGGTACCCTATCCCCACCACCATTCGACACCCATGTGACGAGATAAACTGCACAAAGAATCGTAGGGCGACATGATTGGAGAGGGATGTTCGTACATACCTGATGAAATGAATGTGAGATGTGTAAATGAAAATAGGTCTACGAAAGTCGAACGAACGAAGAAACTATGCAGATATTTCCCGCGCGTGCAATACGACTAGTCTCAGTGTAGCTTCGTTCATCACAATAATCAATCACAATGAGCGTGACTGACGACATTCAACGCCGGCCTTCGACCTCTGTACCCGTAACCGGGTCGCCGTCCGTTCCCTGTCAGACCTCATCCATCGCTACCATCCAACATTGGGATTCTGGGAAGTCCGCCAAGTTACAAGGGAGTAATTCGCAATTGTTAATCCGCTTCTTCTCTTCCCTCAAGTGGGCTGGAGATGTGCTCATGTACCCAGTCATTGAACATGTACATGAACCTACAACACAAGACGGTTGGACTCACATTACTGCTAAATGTATGGATTGCGACGGTGAGCCTCATCCATGATTCCATCCGTGCACATTGAAAACTATACACTCTGCAGTGATGTCATCAAGCATACAGCTAGGAGTAGGATCAGAGTGGGAAAACATACAAGTACATGGGCTCACGCCCAAAAGAAAACTTAGGTAAAACTTTCTTCGTGAATTTCACGGTAGACTTCTTTACACTTCATCGACCTAAGCAGACGAATATTTCACTTGGTCAAAGTCAGAAGTACTGAACGTCTGTACATGCCTACTACAACTGAGCTAAATAATTTACTGGATGGGCTGTGCAGATTGTGTCATGATGTTCAATGCGTGACCAGAGACTGCAATCCAAAAGACTTCGGATGACGCGCCGCTTAAAAATTGAACTAAAGAACTGCATTTCGCTGCTCCACCGAGCGAAATTGCACAATGATAACTGTGTCACTTCCTAAACTGTCACACCAACACATGGAACAAAAATCGCACTCCGAGTTAAGACGTAAACCTGGCCTATCGGAACATACTCCGGGCTTTAACATCTGAATGTACAGTCCCAGTTGGAAAAATATAAATGAGAGAACTTTCGTGTCAGACCACGGCTGAACTATTTCAGCACTCGTGAGGAGAGCCTGAGCCTGTTGTGAAGGTATGAGAACCGTGACTACGTGATAAATCTAACTTATGCTCAGGAAAATTTGCAACGAGGCGACAATGTGCGTGAGCTGCAATCCTACAGTCAGTCCTCTCTGACCTGCATTGCTCCCACATTTACCTCCAAAAGCACATCAACCAAGGTTGACGTGTCATGAATTTCTCAAACTAGCTGATAAGTAGATCCTGTGTGTACATTTGTTGCTCGACAGCTTACGCCGACAAGTGGGACATTTCTGCTGAGTTGCAATCGCTCCGGATATGCAAGCCCTGCAAAAGATATGACCGCATACTGTAGACGTTTCCTCCCTCATAACATCCATACATATGGGGCAGGTCAGTCTCAGTTCCTTCACTGGCTCCTGGCTGGCCTGTTCGTTGGCTCCTGCTGGCAATGTAGGCACCCGTTTGCGCTTGGACACCTACATGATTCAGAACATAAACATAAGCAGTCGGTACATGAACAATATCCTCGACATCCAGATCAATGCTCCACAGCAGGTTCCAGAACATCCATTTCAATGACAGAATGAGGCCTGACATCGACACCATGACTCTGGAACAACTTCGTAGGCTTCAACTTCCAACTTCAAAGACTTTTTCTTCACTAACTTAATAATGCTATCACTCACAGTGCAGCCAGTACAGGTAAATGTACGTCCAGCCAGCTGGACGTACATTTACCAGTTCTCAGGTTTTCTCAAGTCTGAGAGCAACCTCTGCACATAGAATTCTCGTAAGAACAGGAGTTCTGGCAGTGCTCTAATGTAGGAATGGCACGACAGCAGTAAACAAGATAAAACATCATTTGGGCATTCAAACTACTCAGCAACAGCAGAATGAGGTAGTAAAACACTTGATCCCTCGCCCAACCCTCACCTGCGGTGCCAAAGTCTCAGTGATGAGTACACAATCGTCGTTTGAAGGCGTCGGGCTCGTCAAATCGATGGTCAGAGGCACGTTTCTCGCTTGCCTACAGGGAATCAAAGTTGGTCTCTCAGGCAACTGGGCTCGACCTGTGCCATTGACGCGCAATCTTCTCAAGGTCGGCGGAGTAGAGAAAGCTGCAAGAAACACGCATGGCGAAAAGTAGGTAATGTGGTGTCAGACCCCATGCCAGCGGAGAAAAATCACAATCAATGTAACCACTACGATCATGTAGAAGAATCTGACCACAGCTGTGCATGAAAGAAACAAAACCCGTTCAGAAACATCCCTCTGAACCCAGGCCAACAAATTGATCCACGAATTAGACCGGCATTCAAAAGTAAAGAATGAGAAGCAGGATGGATGCGGACCAAAACAGAGGGAGAGGGTCTTACCGGTCGGCCCGAGTCGTAATTCTAAAGGATCTTCCGAGGCTGGCGTGCCTTCAAATGACAAGTTTCGCTGTCGAGTAGCGCGTCCACAAGACCGTGCCTGCGAGAGCCATGCAATCGTTTCCTCGGTAAGCTATCAAGGCGAGAAAAAAGATTCACCGAGAGGGTTATGAGAACGACTGCTATGAAGAGATTTGATTCAAGATGTCAGCAAAACTGTGCGATTTGTCAAGACCTACTTGTGCAAATGAGCGGGGCGAGGAGTCTTGAACATCATCGTCATCATCTTCCAGAATGATCGTATGTATCTGTTGTGCGGTAGCTTGCGCAGGCTGCCTGCTGCCAGGGGCGTTTCCAGACCTGCTACTGCGAGCCATAGGCTGAATTCCCTTACTTCGTTCACCCCTAGCTTCCTCAATTTGTCGAGAACTATTTCGCCCACCCCTGATCACACTCATTCTAGAGCTCGACCTCAATCGAGAATCCCTGCTCTATGGCAGCTAGTCCTCCTTCCGCCGAGCGTAATGTCACCGGAGGTTCTCCAAACTCACGCGAACCGAAAACCTAATGGAGGGCGATTACGGCACTGACCAAATCACGAACAATGTCCTCTTCCATCATATCCCTCCCTGTGCTCCACCTACGACACACGTTTAGCTGCGCCTCGAATCAAGTGGACCGACGTACAACGCAGGCTGTGAAATCTTTCGATTCCCCCGCCACCCCACCCTACGCCCGATTCGCCCCGAGTTCCAACGCGAGTCCGTCGAAGTAGCAAGTTTCAATCTCCAATTTCCTGTTCTCGAATCCTCGCACAACGCTCGACACCGCTGCCCACGAGCGAAGCTCAGCATACCATAACGAAACGCGGCGACGGCAGGCACTTCCACCTCGAATGCGAGCGCGATAAGCGTCGTCGTCCAAGATCTGTTAAATATGAAAATCCAAAACTTCTCCAACCAGAAGGACCAGAAGAAAGACCTGTCCGGAAGAAAAGAGCGAACGATACCCAACCAGGCCGAAGAACTTCCCTCCCTCCCTCCGACTATCGGACGAAGTGTGCACGAAGGCTGAGTTCGGCAAATCCACGCGCCACCCGATTACTCATTACCCTAAAGAACGATATCGAGCGAGAAAAAACACGACTCGGTAAAACGCAATCACCCCCGAAGCTTCCCTCCCTCGCGGCTGCCTGCGTGCCTGCGTCGTGCCCTTCTCGTCCTGCTTCCTCGCCAGCAGCACCAACATTCTCCTGCGTCCCACGCCGAATCCCGACGACGACGACGACAACGAAAGCCGATTCCTCAGAGATGTCACGCTTCGAGAGCCCCCGCCCAGGCCCTGGTCGTCGACGCACTTCCCGTTTCTCGCCTTCTCCTCCCCTACCAGCCGCAGCCCCTGCCCCAGCGCCTCTACTATGTGCCCTCTCCAGCCCCAGCCCCAGCCCCCAAGCCCGAAGCCCGGCTCGCTCCTGCCCGGCCTCTTTGGTGCTAGCAGGAAGGTACATCCGAAGCAATGTTCTCCCCCGCTTCCCCCCAACGGTCTCTTCGGCTAAAGCCCGTTACCGCACCCCGTAACCACTCCGGGGGGCAGGGGGAGGGGGGAGAGGGGGCTCCTGCTGCAATCTGGGCCGTTGGATGTGGATTTTCACCATCTGACTGGTGGTACGACGAGGGCTGATGCTGACGCTTACACCGCGCCGCGTTTTCCGGCATACTGCGTCACCGCAATAATATGCCAATTTGGACGTCTGCTTCTTTCCCATTCGGTGACAGATCGACACCCTTCAACGCGTTCGTTCCTAGCCCCTCGCGAAAATTGGTTCGTGGGTTTCGCTTGATGTGATTTTCTTCGCTCTTCTCCCCTGCCTAGAGAAAACAATTAACCAAGGCAGGTTGTGACAATATCCGAATTAAACCTCACAAATATTTCTGAAAATAGTGCCAAATGCTTTGCTTACGAAAATCAAATTGCAAAGATCAATAACAAATAAAATAGTTTGGCCAAGCGACATCGAATATCGAATTTTAATTTTCATGTTGGCGCATCTTTTGCCAAGCGCTACTTTCATCCGCACGCACCTCTTAAATCGCGCTTGGACCGAACCATCCTCGTGACTGTACTTAATGCCATGAAAATGAAATGACTGATTCGGATTGCAGTGCGTGCGGCTTTTGATTTGTTTAGATTTGCTCACTGGTCGCGAATGGGTGGAGGAAAACGAAAGCACATGGCCCCGTCCATTTTGTCGTTCTTTACCTTCACACGTTTAGCGCTCGATGATGAATTGAGAGTGGGGCTCGAAAGTGGAAGGGCGAGAGAAGAAGGGAGCAAAAATTGGATCGAGTGAGAAAATCGCACTCGACTAAATCTTTTAAATAGCGAAAAAGAAGAAGGGAAGACCCGAAAATCTGGTGAAAGATGAGCCACGTAAGATACAAAGCATGGCTCATGATGATCGTATTATATTACCGACGACGATACCGAACACCAAATACAAAATCTGTACTGCATGCTGAGATAGCATACATGTGCAAAAATAATTGGAAGATAATGCTCGTTTTATGTAATGATTAATGGTTGCAAAAATAAAAGTTCATCCCAAACGACAAGAATTCGGGAATAACCGATTTTTTCCTTTGTTCCTTAGTACTTTCGGTGTATCTGCTCGTTTGTTGGTTTCCCAAGGATTGTTAATGCTGGGTATACAGGTGAACCAAATAAATGGAAGATGAATGGTTGTCCCTTGTATTTTGTTCATGGGTGCGAAATTATAGTGAGATAAATAATTATGCTGAGTTATGATGAAGTAGTGATTCTGTTTGAATACATCAAAAATTCTACAGAGGAGAAGTATAATATGACTGTTATTCTAATTATGTTACTGACTACAATTCGGTTGACTAAAAGACTTTCGTGACATTGAATCATAGCGACCTACTTTTGTAACTCTTCGAGCAATTTCAAACAAAGAAAACAAGTTCGTATTTATGCGCAAAAAATATTTTAAATTTATTTCATAAGTAAAAACCTCCATTGTATGTGATGAAATTTGAAAATTGGACAGAATAATTATTTGACACTAAAATTATGTATTTTCTAAATATATCTCAAGATTTAGTTTTTGAAGGAATATCCTAGTCTACTAATGTTTTGAATAATTATCAGAATCTTTAATGATCATGAATATCTTCAAACACTATATGATGCATAATGTCTATATGTAAGAATTAATTAGTAATTCAATCATGAGCAGAAAAAATGTTCAATTAAAGAATTTAGTTCTAATCCTTCTTTGATTCAAAACTAAATCAAAAAATTTCAAATTAAAAAAATGCATTTGAGAGACGCAATATCAAATTGTACATGCAGGTAAAAAGGGGTCCAATTTATTGAAAATATGAGCTTATATGAGCTTATATATTTTATAAAAATTGTCAGTTTGCTTGAGCCGAGCAGCCCTTAAACTTGCTTCGATCTCATGATTTTGAACGGAAACGGAACGGCGCCCCTAATCAGCTACATTTTTTGCTTTGTAATTTAAAGTTAATCCAAATTGAATTTCGAAAATGCTTCTGAAATATATTCAAATCATAAAACCGAAAGATTAAGAAAAATAATTTGTGGTGATATGCATGAATATTTGTATCTCTTCAATTAAAAGATTAGAAATTGAAAAAATTGAATGTTCTATGGTTTTTTACATCACATTACATTGATATAAAAAACCATAACACTTAGATTTATTTTGTAACTAATTGACTTCAAATTTCTTATTTCTTCAAATATTTATTGAAAATTTTAAAATTATTTCAATGTACAGTTTGTTGCACAGATATCTTTGCTTAAGTTAAAATATTTAAAAAATAAAAAATATCCAAAAAATTAATTCACGATTTTTATGATTCAATATTTTTAATTTATTAACATTTATTTTAATATTTATATATTTAAATTAAATTTCATAATTTTTCCCGATATATGTGGAAAAATTTAACTAAAATTATGTAATCTCCAAAAAATAATACAAGGATTCAAAGTCAGTATTAAACGCATAAATATTCATTGATTAATTGATTTATTTATATCGATAGATGAAAAATTATATTTCTTTGATATTGTATTTGAGATAATTGATATTGAGTATTTCATCATAATTTAAAAGCTATGGATAATTTTATTCTCAAATTAATATCATGTGTACAGTTGAGATTCTTATCACTTAAAATAATATTGATATGTTTTCAGATATAAACTAGTTGAATAAAAATAAATTTCAATAGATAGTCTAACCTCTCTTTGTGAGATATGTTTGGTAAATTGCAAAAGCAAGTATCACATGAATAGTTGTTTTTCACGTTATGCAATGTTGAGTTCAACTCTAGTTAAGGAGTAATTTCTGGTCTTAGTATTAAATAGCTAAGACGGTTATTTGGACAAGGGTTAAATACCTGTACTTAGAGTCTTTCGACACATGGAGTAAGACATTGGACTTATCCCTAGTCCTGAGAGTGAACCACCTTATTTCTGTGGCTTGTGTTGATTGTTTGATTGAGAATTTCGTCTCAGTGTTTTTCGGGTTTTACCGTTTACATGCAAGACAAGATACTCATTTATTCAAAGTATATTTATGATGACTGCTTGTTTTTATTTAATGTAGTAATTTCTTAGGCACCATTGATCGGTTTCAATATTTGATGACATCTTGGAATACTATTCTATGACCTTAAAAAAACAAAATAAATTCTGTAAGATAAATTTGAGATGAATTGTGAGTAATTTCGTACATACTTGTGAACAACAGAGATATGAAAGAATGTGTCAGTTCTAAATCAGTGCTGATCACTCGATGGAAGTAAGCAGTGTGAGCTAGAATGTATGCATAGTCATTATGCATGGTCCACCAAAGCTAAAAATACTGTAACCTTGCTAGAACCAAAGTGTAAACAAGCTTTAGTGATAAAAAAAGCCCAAATTCACTAATAGTGAATGTAAATCGTGTAATACTTAGTTAGATATTATGTTAATAAGAGACAATCATGAGAACTCAGTTGTACCTTGTCTTCTAAAAATTTTCTCAAATAACGTAAGATTACATATATTAAAAATAATTCGTAAACATATATGATGTATACATCACAGAAATAAAATTATTTGAAATCAAAAATCAAATAGATATTAATACTGCTGATAGTATCTAGTGATTGGCCAAAAGTGTCAAAGCCGACATCTCTAATGACGATCTACCTCTTCACGCAAAGTGGACAAGCAAAATGTATCTACACCCCAGAATTCTAGACACATATTTGAATGTCTTATGTGTGATTAAGTTATCATTCGTCTTCAAGCGTGATTAAAGAGTAGATTAAGATAAAACATATGAAAAAGTAGTTGATGAGTCAGGAAGCACTATTGTAAGAGAATATTAAAGTCCAAATGTGGATAGGTTGAATAGTAAAATATTATTAGAAATGCGCTAATATATTAAAGAAATGTATATCAAATGTCAATGAGTACTTTGATGAAAGAATATCATTTATGAACATGACATTTGTAGCCAATACAATGATTACTTTACCCACTCTAAGATACACTTAATCAATGTGTGTAAACTAATCAACCACAACTTACACTCTTAAGAAGTCATCAATTTGTGTCATACCGAAACTTACAACATGACACATTGACTTTGAAGCATAACAAGATGCTTCGTCATCAAGTATTCAAAAGCATGTCTCATGTTCAAAGGTTTATTAAAAAAAATCGACAAATTAATAGATATTATACTCTTTAATTAAAATGAAAAAATAAATTATCATGAAGTAACATAAATTATCATATTAGTAACTAGGCTAAACTAGCATCATATGGCATGTATAATACGCATTATGTTAGAAGCATGATGCCTTTTATTCTGTGGTGACATAATTGTAGAGTGGATGAAAAAGAGTCAATTGGTAACAATCAAAGTCTTCCAATAAAGAGTTACACAAAGGAATTATATTTGTTCATCTAGTAATAGAAGTAAACTCTTCAACATGTTGGCGGCAAGAGGAAAAAGATCACGTTACTACACCTGATTACATTATTGCGGTTAATGAGTAGTACATATGGATTCGACAGATGCATGATCACTTCACTCAGAAACAGTTGCTTTTGTGCATTTTAACATAATTTTCATTGTAATGGTACTCAGGTCTAGCTAGACCCATGTCACTCTTGTAATATTTAGTGGGGTCTTCCCATCCTCTGGCTAGATTACGAGGTGGACTGAATCTCAAGTAGTTTTGAATGTGAATGAAGTCCATCTATAGATGCCTCTAGAGCAGGTCTACTAAAATCTGGCGTTTTATTTGTAGACTCTAGAATTTATCTGTCAAATCTGCAAAAATTAATATGGCCAAACTTCTATACATTAGAAGGGAATTCCCACAAACGGAGGCAATGGAACGCACGATGAGGGAGTTACAGTAGGAATGCATACTCCGTAGACATTGAATTTGTTGATGATTTGTGGATTTTGAAACTCAATGTGCTTTTAAATTGACATTAAGTTGCAAATAGGTGCTAAGATTCTTGAAATGGAGAGCAAGTTACGCACTAAAAAAATAGAAAAAAATAAGCGAAATAGAATTCGCGTGCATTTTCTATTTTTTGTTCATTTTTCTACTTTAATTTTATCTATGTAGCATAATTGTTTTGACAATCGTGAGTATACAAATCTAGGTTACATTTCATATTTTTTTTTCATTCATTATAAGTTTTCAAATAAAAATATACGTTTATACGAATTCGTACTTGAAAGTGATTCTTCATCATCAAATGAAAGAAAAATTACTCCCGCATGAATATACATGGGTAAGCAATCCAAAACGCTCAAGAAGATTATCGCCTAGACAACAATAGTGAAATACACCGTTAATGACTAAAATACCAAAATTAAGGATAAAAATATACCATTTGCAAACTTGGCATTTGCCAGATATTATACGACCTGCTCTAGAGGCACTATGTTGTGAATTATTATACCAAATTTGGATGAATTTTGTTTCTTGAAAACATTCTGTGTACGATAAATATAAATTTAGCTGTAAATTAATGATCACATGCAGTTACATCACATCAAAACTCATCATGTGGGAACATCAATGAGAATATATGGTCTCGGATCTCGAGGTCCCTTGCATGTCCATGGATGGTCTGCACAACACCAATTCGAGACGAGAAATCGGTCGACAACATCAATCTGCACAGGCTTTTCGAATGGCTCAATGGTGAAGGCCTCTACTACTTCCGTTGCATTTCGGTCTGCATTGCTCTTCTGCCTGTATACGCGCGGATCAGCCGAAC